ATCAGTAGGATTCATTAAAGGCACAAAATGCAAGAAAGAGGTAATCCCACCAACACCATGCAGTGATTTCTTATTAAAGGAGACAGTGAGAGATTTCAGCAAGGAGATTAATAGAAATAATGTATGGATTCTTACCCTCCCTCCTTGGTGATTTACATTATGTTATGTAGTTGAAACAACAGGGGGAAATGCAAAATCTCTCCTATGATTAATGCTGAAATACCAAGGCTCTTGTTATGGTTGACTGTACATTCACAACAACACACTTGGGAAATGGCAAGAGATCACTTATTTTCCTTTTTGTGTCTGATCCCCTTTCCATGTGGGTCATTTCAGGGACTCAGATTTATTTTTTATGGTAAACAGTGTTTCTCAGAATATACATTTTTTTTTTAAGGAAAGCTTTCTCTGCATGAAAATTTGTGGATTCCATCTTTTTTGCTCTAATGGTGAGATTTCCTGGCCCATCATAAAATGTTAAGGTTTAGGTGATGTTTATTTCACAGACTTATCAAAGAGATGTTTAGGGCTGGGGAGAAACCAGTAGGGTCATATAGCTCAGCTCCCTCACTTTATAGACAAGAACAGTGGGGTTGAGCTGTCTTGTGTGACAAGTAAGCTGTTTTGCTTACTGGTTCGCCACATATCACAGGGCAAAAGTAATTTTTTAAAGAGGAGAGAATGCATTACAAAAGTAACAAAACACTATGTGGGAAAATAGAAGGAAGGATGTTAGCAAAAAAGAATATCCTTCCTCTGCGTAAATGCATAAGTGGACCAGCGGTTATGTTATGTGGACGGGAAACAAACAAACAAAGTAGGAAAAGCCACTGCTTGTGCATTTTTACCAGCTCCAAGTTTCAGCTGACTGGCTTTGACAGTGGCGGGGGGCGGGGGGGGGGATGCTTGGGGGCAGGAGAGGTAGAGACAGTGCTACATCCACAGAAGAAAAGAAAGGAAACGTGATGTCAGTAGGAAGCCTGCCTCACTCTGTTCTCTCCCTTCTGCACTTCCCCACCCCAACACGGCCACTCAGCTGTGCGGGAGACTTGGAGACAGGTTCCTGTTCTTTAGCCTCAAAATTTTTGTATATAGTTGACCTATCTCTAGACCACTCTCCTGCAAGTTGTAGACAAATTACCAGTTGCTAAGAATTTTCAACATATGAAACATGCTGATTCACAAAGCATGTTTACATGTAACTATACACTTAGTCCTCTTAGATAACGGGTCCAGTTATAGCTCAGTGATTCATGCTGTTTTATCCGAACTGAAACATTTGATCACCTTTAGGATATATCTTTTTACAAACCCTTACATGCTCTTCTCTCCCTATATCACCAAGATCCTATATTAACTGGATTGAAGATATAAAGGAAGGAAACTGTAGAAAAAATACTCCTCTACATTTCTGGCAAATTTAATAGATTTCAGAGGACTTTCAGATATAAACTTATTTTATCCTCAGAATAATCCTTCGAGATTGTTATGTTGGTATCATTCTCCATTTCACAGAATTAAAAATTGAATAGCTACTAACTAGAAGGATTCGGGGTGGGGGGGAAGGACAGAATCATAGAACTGGAAGTCATCTGGTTCAGTTTCCTCAATTTGAAAATAAAATTATTGAGGCCTGGAGAGGTTAAACAGGTAACCCAAGGTTGTATTATTTTCATATTAGAATGAGATCTTTATCTGCTGATTTCCAGCCTGCAGTTTTTGACTGTGGTTTTCTGTCTCAAGGATCAGGAAAGATGTGTTACAGCGGGCTGATGATACCCATTAGCTGATGTCAGAAGACACATTTCTAATTTGTTCCTCCTCCATCCCATCTAAATTTTCAGGCTCCAGATCACATGATAAATAAAATGAAGTGATTCTTTAAAGTTTGGTTGTCAAAGTGACCCAGTGCACCATTCAACTTAGGTGGTGGAACAATAGTATAGAAAGTGTGGGGGAGAGCTCCTCCTATCCTGAGGGTTTCTTACTAGTTTGGTCAGTGTACAATTTTTATGCTCCGATGTTATCTTTTCCCTTCTTTATGGACATTCTCTGAGCATCTTTTCCCACCAGAAAAGCACCATTCCCCAAGCTCAGTGAGCATCCTTTCTTCTCCCTGATTTTGTGACAGTACTTATCACTGGTTTCTGATACCCTAGATACAGGGCCCACTTTATGAGGGACTGCCCTATTCTTGCATCAATAACAATGACTTAGAGAGAGAGTACAAGTTTCTCCAAGGGACCTTTGTGAGTCAAGGTGATGGTCAGTCATAAAAATTCTTCCTCACCATCAGCATATGTAGTTTACAGCAAGAGAGTAGGTATGAATCTGCTGCAACAGAGAAGCACCCAAAGCCCCTCTCTCAACTTGCTTTCATGGAAGCTACAAACTATTGCCTCATTGATAGTGATGAGAACCTCAGAACTTTTTTTTTAATGTTATTAAGTGTTATGTTTGGGGGGGGGGGGGGGGCGCGCGGGGCAAAGAGAGAGGGAGACACAGAATCCAAAGCAGGCTCCAAGCTCTGAACCGTCAGCATAGAGCCCAACGAGGGGCTCAAACCCATGAACCATGAGATCATGATCTGAGCTGAAGGTGGACATTTAACTGACTGAGCCACCCAGGCGCCCCAAGAACCTCAGAACTTTTTAATTCACTTGCCTCTCATTCCTCTCCTGTTTTCTCTTCCTACAGTATTCTCCATTACTTTCTTTCTCTCTCCTCTTTAGTATCACCTGATCTTTTCCTGTATGCTATTCTATTTGCAGCATAATAAAAACATAAACTAAAGAAATGCAACATTTTCCAGGCTATTCTCTGTCCTTCTTTCCCTTTCAGGACCACATGAATTACTACTTCCTACAAAAATCCTTTCTGCAGAAATTAGCCCTCAGTCTTCATTACATTTTCCCAACATCTTCAGTGTTTACCATTTGTAACACTCAGTTGGTGCCTCACAAATGTGGCCTCTTCCTACTATTTATCTGTTGATGCCACTGTTCTGTTACCCTAACAAGATATTGAGTTCCCCCCTGTAAGGCAAAAATGTATGTCCTCAGCATCTACTAAGGTATCCTAAAACAGAGTCTATTATGAGCACAATAAATGTTTGATAATGCTGCTTACCTTTGTATTTGATTGAATTTCACTAGCTTGAGCTTTCTTTACTCATTTTATGGTTGATTCTTAGTGAGAATCTCTTTTAGTTTTGGCTATGACTCCAGGAGAGCAGGAGTGGTTAGAGCTTAGCAGTGCCAGATGTTATAAATAATTTATCATATGTGCAAACAACATTCCCAATGTTTCAACTTACTCTCTAGTGTGGGTATGCAAAATAAATCATTTGGGCAAGAGTTTCCACTACAAAGACTTTAACAATTGTATAGCTGAACAATTTCAGGATTGGCAGAGTTATAATTTCCCTTCAGATAGTTTAGATAAATTCTCTTGATAGAGAAGTTGTACCTTCCTATGCAAATGCAGACATTATCACGTCTTAGGCAAGGCTTTCGTGTTCATAACAGTAACAATTACTGAGTTTCTATTATGTACCAGGCACTGCGTTTAGCATCTAATTATCTTATGAAATACTAACAGCTTTAGTAAGTACTGTTATTTTCTGCATGCAAAGATACTGAGGTTTAGAGAATTTAAACAACTAGCCCAAGATCACATAGCTAGTAAGTTTTAGAGCCAGGATTAAAACCTTTCAATTTTGCATAGAGTAGGAACTTGAAAATGTATAAAGATGATGATAAAACACTTTCCCAAACTCCTCACAAAGTTATATTTTTATATAGCTCTATGTTCTGTTAGAATACATATTGCAAAAATTCATTAGAATGGTTTAATAAGTTTGCCCAAGATTCTCTCTTTTGTCCCAAGAGCTCTATAATCTTGTGAAGCAGTAACTTAATCATGTTCAATACTGTTATCTTCAGATACAAAATAAAATAATTTGACATACTATATTTAACATTTATAACTAAAGCTTTTGGAGCTTTTGGAACTAAAGCAATATATATATATATATATATATATATTGCTATATATAGCAATATAGCACCTGTTTGCTATAGGTGATAGCAAAATGTATCACCTATTTTGCTACAGCAAACCTATAAGGTATTACCATATCATGATATACTTGATATTGTAAAGCTTGCAATAAATTGTGATTATAATAAAATTATGATGGAATCTAGTATCCCTTGAAAATTTCCCTATGTTCTTTTTCATTTGCAGATGTAGGGATATCATAGATAATATGCCTCTAAACAAGGTCTTATTTGCATGAGAATTTTAAATACTACAAAGAAATTATAGCGGTTACAATCTCTCCAAATCATCTCTTCTAAAGCAGTTTATTGGCTTTGGTTGTATTTATATGTCTGATAAATGGATTCTGTTCAATGAGATTTGATGCAATTATTTTTAAAGTCTTGAAATGAATGCTCAAGAATTATTGATCTGAGTCACATCAACTAATGGTTTAATCAACAGGTCACCTACAAACAGCAATGTGAATTCAATTGATATACTGCTGTGTTTGCATTACAAAATGATTTCTTGTCTAGACACAATTATAAAACTGTAAGAGATGTTCAATCAGATGTTAGACTTTTCTAAGAATTTAATTAGAACTTTGTTTTTTAAATATTAATTGAGATATTCTAGAGAATAACCTACATGGAACCAAATTTGAGTATGGCTGTGGTACCTACAAAACAAGGCAGCTTAATCTGGTTAGTATAAACAGCATAAATTATTGACTCTGGGACCTACAGTTACATTCTCATGTGGTCTAGAATACATTTAGGAAATATCCTTTGCCAATTCACTTAATGGCAGCATAGCACTCTCAAAAAAATGCTAACAGGTCTAAAACATGAACAATTTATACTATTATACCATTATCTCCATTTTATTGGGGAAAAAACCCTATTGCAGTTTTATAGGTCTTTGACTAATGTGCGGTATTTCTTTTTTTAATGCAGGTAAATGGTTTAACTATGGAATTATCTTTCTCGTCCTGATTTTGGATCTTAATATGTGGAAGAACCAGATATTTTATAAGCCTCATGAGTACGGACAGTATATAGGCCCAGGGCAGAAGATATACACAGTGAAAGACTCCGAAAGTTTAAAGGATTTGAACAGAACCAAACTTTCCTGGGAATGGAGGTCCAATCACACTAACCCTCGGACTAATAAAACATATGTTGAGGGAGATATGTTCTTACACAGCAGGTTCATAGGGGCTAGCCTTGATGTCAAGTGTCTGGCTTTTGTTCCGAGTTTAATAGCTTTTGTGTGGTTTGGATTCTTCATTTGGTTCTTTGGACGGTTTTTGAAAAATGAGCAAGGCATGGAGAATCAAGACAAAACTTATACTCGCATGAAAAGAAAATCACCGTCAGAACATAGCAAGGACATGGGGATCACTCGAGAGAACACACAGGCCTCAGTGGAAGACCCACTGAATGACCCTCCTTTGGTTTGCATCAGGTCTGACTTCAACGAAATTGTCTACAAGTCTTCCCACCTAACGTCAGAAAACTTAAGCTCACACTTGAATGAATCTACCAGTGGGACAGAAGCCGATCCAGATCCAACAACTTCTAAAAGTACACCTACGAACTAGATTCACTTACTTGGAGACAGCACAAAAAGCAACCTTGAGTGTAACTTTAAAAAGTTAGTCTTTCCTTTTGTAAATGTAAAGTTTACGTAGTGTTAGGTAAAGAAACACAAACAATGCCACAACGGTGCTCAACATGCTTTTTCTAGGACTCATTGTTTTCTATTTGTATTATAATCTACGTGCCTCCTGTATATCTAACAGTCCTTTAGAGATTGCTTTTCACAATTGCACAAGCTATTTACTGACTTTACAGCATAGTAGAAGATTAGCTGATTACCCGTGTATCTGATGTTCAACCATAGTGGTGCCTTGAGACATTAAACTGTTTTTAACTGTACCAGAAATGAAGTGTGGAACAGTTCTCTAACCTACTTCACATGGGGTGTTTTTTTTTTTTTTTTGTATACAATTATTTTTGATCTACACTTGATGTCTTAGCAGGAAACAGATATAGCCAATATGTGGCTTAGGAAGTATCTCTTTTACCTATTCAGCAGTGGAGTTGGTGACTCTGACAGCAGGATTGCAGAGAGGCATGGTGATTGCCTTTGAATTTGTATTGGCTATCTGCCAAATACAAATACAGATTCAAAATTCAGTAATAGGAGAACGATAATCCAGCATGGGTCACTACTTGTGAAATGTGACTTTCTCCAACCAGTAATTGCAATTAGATGATAATACCTAATTATGTTTTCCTAATTAAAGATAAATTGCTACTTGATTAAAAATCCTGCCCTTCACCTATGGGAACAAAGGTTAAGAGGCACAGTTGGATGAACTCTCAAACTTATTGGCATTTACACAAAGCTCTAGAAAACCAAGGAACTGAAGTTTTAATCATGTGAAGGTTGTACAGCCTACTATCTACAATATTTGTACATCTTTCTGTAAATATGGCTCTGGACAATGAAAATTGAACAACCTATGCCAACCCTGAATAAGGGAACTCCTCTAAAAATTATGCAGCAGAACCTTGTGAGGTAGAAAAAGAAGTGCATGAAAGAATCTAGTAGCTTGTTTTGTGTGTTTTTTGTTGTTTTTTTTAAGAATTAAACATCATACATTAATAAATATGAATTATACATCAGTGAATCCGTGATGTAGTTTTTTGTTTATAATGGATTCATTTGTATATTAATTTAACAACAGCCCATTTAATTTTAACTTGATGCCAGATGAGTTAAAAAATGGAACATACCCAACTTGCTTTTAATTTTGTTCCATAAATTGTGGTTGCATGTTCTTCAGGGGGTTGGGGAGATCACTTTTAAGGCAAAATTATTCTCCTGTCACATACTGACATAACTGTATTTTGTCTTTATGATTTTTAAAATATCTCTTGATCTATCTGCTTTTAAGCTTGCAGCATGCTGAATTTAGCATGTGTGATAGAACTATGTATTTATCTGTCACTTGAGAGCCAGCTTTAATAAACACTTTCCTACAATTGTTTACTAAGCAATTAGAACCATGCCCCTGCTGTTTCATTTACCTTTAATAGCTATGTATGGTGCAACTTAGAATTATAAGTATCTCTGAAACTAAAAATGCAGAGATCAAGCTCACTATAGTAACCCACTGACCATACTGTTTAAAGAAACTTACCATGTTCTTGCTTGGCCAATGTGGTAACATTGGCCATTACCAAATTTACATAGCATAAAACATTGAACTTTTGACTCTAGGAGAACACACACACACACACATAGACCCATATATTTATATACACTCACTGTTCTATAAATATATATATTATATAATTATATATATAAATATATATAAATATAAATATATATATATTATCCTGAAAGTTAGTGTCTTATAGAATGAAGAACGAAGTTGATTTATAGAAAGTGGGTGTTTATTAGCAGTATATAATCCTTATGAAAATATTATTTGATAATTTTTAGGTAGGTATTAAGGAAAAAGTGGTTCAATGAGGTAATCTAATTAGCAGAAGATAGAAAAAATAACAGCACTATGCTTATGTGTATCCTAGTGTAGGGACTGACTAGAGAAGGTGGCTATCAGCTGACATGAAAATGTATCTTTAAAGTTTCCCTAAGTTTTAGTAACAAATAGAGTAATTACCAGTAATGGCATTTTTTTTTTTTCAGCAATGGCATTTTAATAGTCAGGATCCAAACCTTTGAAGGCTTCCAATAGTTGTATATATCAATCTTGACCTATTTATCTACCCATGGGTCTCCTTCCTTATTCTGCTACCTCTTTTAGTATACCATATTTGCAATTATACCAAGTAAAGATTAGCAAATCAAATAAAATCTAATGAAAGTCAAAAGCACATGTACTAGTGCTTTTTGAATACCAGACCTTTTGGACTATCAAGGGCATTACAGAAAAAAAAAAAAGTAGTAAACCCAGAAAATAAAGGGTTAAAAAAAAGGATTAAAAAACCACTAACTGCAGATTCTAAAGAAAGCATAACAAATGTGATGCCTTAATTGCAGTGATGCTTAAGGACTATAAACAATTATATTTCTACTGTTCAGTAATTACAGTATTTTCTTTCATGCAGTGCAGAATTTGCACTAATTTGGCACAATTTTAGTATCCTACATTATAGAGTACTTCATTAGTAGTTTAAATGGAAAATTAAATAAACACTCTGAATTTATGCCTGATAATATATGCCTAGACATAAATCTCATCACCACATGCTCATTTGTATTATATAACCATACTTAGTTATCTCATACTCTCCCCATGGTGGCCACTTATCATGTTCACTTATATTATAGCACAGCTGAGATTACCAGTGAATCCTATTAGAAATCTTAAGAATTATTTCTTTTCCATTTGCCCGAAGAGCCAGCCAGGCACAAAATCTCCTTTTACTTTTCATCAGATTTCCATCAGGTCATTCCCACAAGCACTACTGGCTGACAGTACAATGGAAAGTAGTTGTGCAACATACACACTCACATTTGAGGATGGGAGTCAATACTGTTGTCTTATTTCACCACTGGTCACCATAAGCAATTCCAATACATTATTTGCCTACCCTGTGGATCACCAACCCAACCCAATATGAAACATGGGAAGAGAACTTCCTCTTAGCTGTCTCTGTAACTGATGACTCATGATGCCAACTGAATAATCTGACATTTGACTAAGACCTTAGCACTCCATAATTGCTTATTACCTATCTGCCGTCACTCTGAACTGATCCCTATTTTAAATTAAAACTCTTGGCTATGCAACCACAATCTGGGTATTGTGCTTTTAATGGTGTTTTCCCAACCTCAGACTGGGATGGCTCACTATTCTATCTTGCCTGATTTCCTCCAGAAATCAGAAATTTTGCCCCTCAGAATTCAACTCTAACCTATTAGCTAATCCCATCTTTAAGATGGGGAAAACAAGTCAATTAGTTTTGTAACAAACTGGCACTTTTTTGATTTATCCAAATTTTTGTTTTAAACATATTTGTGTGCATAGGATTCTGATTAATGGGAAGTGGTATGGATAAGAGAATCAAGGTCATAAATTTTGGCTTCTGTTTATACTGGACTAGAACTGAACTGTAATCTGAACTAGAGAAGTTTAGATGTAGTATTTGTAGCTCACAAGTCACTCTTGTTAAAGATAACTGGAAAAAGAGCTAGATATTTATATTGGAAAGAGAAGATTAGGCAGATAGTGAAACATGATGGAAGTCTTGCCATGATGGAAGTTCTTGCCATGACATCTGGGAAATAAAAAATGGTAGTTTTAGTGTGAGTGGGCTTTAAAACTCTGGCGAGGGGATGGAAGCCTTTGTAAAAGGAACTTCAGCATAAAGTTATTGTGAGTCCACTACTTCTACTTAATAAGAGTCCTAAGAAGACTCAAGAAGATGTTTCAACATAACTGAGGGGGTTACACAAAAGGTTGGTTGGTTGGTTGATTTCTGAAACATTCTACCACTCATGTCACTCTGTGTCTGTCCAGGAAATATGGTGAGACCAGGGAGAGGGGACATGGGGTCCATGAAACAAACAATAGAGGTGGGTGTGGGCATAGTGGGCAATGTGAGAAGAGAAAGACAAAAATCTACACTTAAAAATTGAGAGAGACTAGAACATCCTTGATAGAAGAACAAAGATGGCAGCAAAGTCTGTGTGTAAGCATTTTATCAGCATATAAAAGTTGACATTGTAAACAAAAATGCCTTGCAGATGCTTTATGATAAACATTCTGAAAATTTTAGTAAAACAAAGTATTATCATTACTTTAATATGTATAATATAGCACAGATATTATTTTAATTAAGTGTGAGGAATCCATTATTTTACTCAGACAATATAAAACACATATAAGGGGCACCTGAGTGGCTCAGTAGGTTGGCCTTTTGGCCTTGGCTCAGGTCACGATCTTGGGGTTCATGAGTTTGAGCCCCACAACTGGCTCTCTGCTACCAGTGTAGATCCTGATTCGGATCCTCTTTCCCTCTCTCTGCCCCTCCCCCGCTCACCCTCTTTCTCTCCCTCTCAAAAAATAAATCAAATCAATCAATCAATAACATATAACTCACAGGTTTATTTCTTACCTCTATCCTCCAAAAGATTTTTCATAAAGTCTTAAGTTCCTTCACACCAAATAATTGTACTACTAAACTTTTTGAGGACTTATCTGCATGATTAAGAAAGACCACTCCAACTTATCATTGACAACTACATTAACAAAAATTTATAGATGCTTGTCGCCCTAATGAATTGTTTTCACTCTATCCAGATCATTGCTTAATCCTGATAATAATAAGACTACCATTTTGAGTATTTTCTATATGCAAACAAATTACACATTTAATCCTCATATAAACCACGGAAGGTAAATATGGTTAATTTTTTTACAATTGCTAAAAACTAAGGCTCAGAGAGGTTTATTAGCTTGCCCAAGGTCACAAGGCTGGCAAATACAGACATAAGATTTGAACTCAGATGTGTGTAACTCCAAATCCCATTATTTTCCACTATAATCCTTAATTAAGATCCATTCAAACTACAGTATCCATTTCAAACAGTATCTTTGGTGAGAATGACCTGGGGAACCTTGTAAAACCATTCAGATGCCTGATTTCTAGCAATTCTTTTCTCTCAAGAATCTAAGTTAAATAATTTCTAACAGGTGTCTGGATGCAATTTACAAGTTCTATCTTATGATTGAAACAGATAAGGTTGAATTAAATGACAGAAGCATTCAGTTCGTTCCCAGGTGTTCTGATTTAAACTACACTTATAAAACCACAACACCGATTTGTCCTGACATAATTTCCAGTGTTGCAATTGGTTTATTTCCTGATTTCACTTTCCTAGGAGGGGAAAGAATTGACCTCTGCATGTTTTGAACACACCTCAAGGGTGGGCAATAGATATGAATATTCAAACAAGAAAAAAAAATGATGCATTGATGGACAGATTTAGAAAGCACAATTCAAATATGGGATCTAGAAGTAACTATATTTTGAAAAAACCATCTGAAATTTATTTTTAAAAACCTTTATAAAGGTGAGCAAATGGTATTGTGACAGGACAAGCACTGGCTTTGAAAAACATGTCCCTTGAATACTATAAGCCTTAGGTTCTCATTCCCCAAATGGGAATACCTCACAGAGTTTTGAAGAGTTTGAACTAAAACTGTATGTGCAAGAATTCTGTGAACTGAAGTTAAGTTGTGCAGATGTGAGGTACTATCGAAGGTGTGGGGCACCAGTCACCTCAGTGCCCACCTTTCAATAGCGCCCATTAGTTTACCTTCATCAGCAGCTCCAGGCCAATGCTGCCATTGAACATGGTTAGGCTGTTTGCTCCCAATTTGTCTCTCTGTAATTGTTTTGAACTCTACAAGCCTCAATGTTAACGCATTTCACTTTTTACAGAAGTTCAGATTCCTTGGTTTAAAGCAAGTGGCTAAGATGTCTGAAATCAATGGCCATAATCCCTTGGAGCTGCTGGGCCAAATCTATTCATCAAGATTTTCTCTGCTCTAGCATTCTTAAATTATTTCCTTCCTTTCATGATTGCCTTAGCAGCTTCTCTTATCAGGGCTTTCTCATCGTGCCAGTAATCCACCACATTTCATAAATCCTGAAGTGTCTTCAGCATTTCAATGAGAGCCGACATGCACACCTGAGCCCCTGCACTTCAGGATCTTCCCACCTGTGATTGGATGTAGTCAAGGAAGCCATTCTAAATCAGGGTGTCACTCCAGCCTTGCCTTTTAGGAAGAATCTACCTTATATACCATGGAATCCAGGCAACACCTTAGCCACAGCATAGTCATTTATGGAATGATACTTTAAAACAGTATCCTGGTTTTTTACTCAGCTTACAGACTTACTTCCTATGAATACCTTATTTTATCTGGATAGTCCAGTTGACTTCAACCTAACAACACTGGAAAAGGTCAGCACTTAAAAACAGTCACTCTTGTCTGAAGCAAAATGTGTAAGATGAAACA